TAACCACTGTGCTATGGGGGCCGAGCCTCAAGTAATCTTGTCTCAGCCTCTGTGTGTTTTGGGAGACCCAAGGAAGAGGGATCGCTTGAGGCCAGGAATTCAAGACCAGACTGGGAAACATAGCAAGACTCTATTTCTAAAAAAAAGAAAAACAATTTGGAATTAGCCGGGCATAGTGCTGTATGCCTGCAGTCCCAGTTACTCTGGAGGCTGAAGTAGTAGAAGGACTGCTTGAGCCCAGGAGTTCGAGGCTGCAATGAACTATGATCATACCATTGGACTCCAGCCTGGTGACAGAGCCAGACTTTGTCTCTAAAAAACGCACACAAGGGTGGTGCCTGTGGTTCAGTGGGTAGGGTGCCGGCCCCATATACCAAGGGTGGCAGGTTTGAACCTGGCCCTGGCCAAACTGCAACAAAAAATAGCCGGGCATTGTGGCAGGCGCCTGTAGTCTCAGCTACTCAGGAGGCTGAAGTAAGAGAATCTCCTAAGCCCAGGAGGTGGAGGTTGCTGTGAGCTGCGTGACGCCCTGGCACTCTACCGAGGGTGATAAAGTGAGATTCTGTCTTAAATAAATAAATAAAAATTAAAAAAGAAAAGAAAAGAAAACACACACACAAAAGGTAGTGCACTGCCCTCAGGTTTACACAAGAAACTCTCAAATGCTAGAACCCAAATGAACATCCGAATCTTAACGCTTGCTCCCAGAATACTATTATTCTATCATTAAAACACACTCACTGGCATTCACGATACCAGCAAAGAGAAGACTGGCAGTTCAGACTTCAGGTAGCCAAGGGCAGAGCGAGGACTCCAGTGAGTCACCAACTCCCATCCACTTTGCACACAGCAACTGTCCTCCCCATTCTTCATATAAATAAGGAACAAGGAAATACCAAGTATGTGATGTGAAAGATCCCAGCAGAGAAGCCTCAGTCACTTGTGTAAAACGAGTACAGCCCTATTCTGCCAGGTCCACGAGTTTTGTGGCCCTTGTGACCTTCTGCCCCCAAACTCTCTTCTCTCACCACCCTACATCTCCCCGAGTGCCGGAGTGCCAGTCCCCACGCCGATCTCCGTCCTTAATTGTTAGTTAATGTGTTCATTGAGTTTCCATTTGTGCCTTTTGGAGGTAAAAGGCCCTTTTGAGAAAATGTGTTCCTCTCACTGTAGGTGCCCCTTACCTATCAAATAACCTCCGTTTGCCTCCGAGTGCCAGGCAACTGTGTGCTTTTCCTCTGCTGTTTGCCGTCTTAGTCACAGTCCCACAGAAGGATTAAGTGCAAATGTCACTCTGCTGTTTCCTTCAGTAGATTATGGGAGTATAAATTGGATTGTGTAAGTGCAGTTAGCTCTTTCCCCAGTGCTAAGACAGCAAGCAGCGTTTGAGGTCTGTTTTTTTTTTTTTTTTCCTTCCTTGCAGAGAATAGAATGAACAAGCAGAGAGTCATAACTTTCTTTCCCTTGGCAGGCAGGAATATTGAACCGAGACACCTGCCAAATTGCCAATCCCTGGGTGGAATGTATCCAATAACCTAGGAATTTAAATTCAGGATGGCTACTAACTGTCCTGGAGCTGTTTATTGGAAATGATTGCTTTATGAAGACCCCAAAGGGGCCCCTTTCAGCACAGTGGCATTGAGACCTCCTGTGCACTAGGGGGAGCAGTATGAATAACTCTTTTGCTAGAGGTTAAAATAGTCATTGGTAAACTGGATAGGCTGCACAGTTCCTGTGGAAGCCCAGCAGAGCTAATAACTTTGTTTATTCTTGTCACTCCTGTAAATTCACAACCATCTTGTCTTTCAGAGTTGTGTGGACTTCATTGTGTGAGGGGGGACTAGAGCTGTCTTGTGAATTGATTGTTACTGGTCAGCCACAGTATGGAGCAAGTCTTCAGAGTCATTCATAGAAATCCAGTGGGATGATTTTGTATATAATAATGAAAAAGTTAGGCTTGGGCCATGCAGGTGGCTCACACCTGTAATCCTAGCACTCTGGGAGGTCGAGGTGGGTGGAATGCCTGAGCTCACAGGTTGGAGACCAGCCTGAGCAAGAGTGAGACCTCGTCTCTAAAAATAGCCAGGGTGTGGCAGGTGCCTGTAGTCCCACTTGGGAGGCTGAGGCAAGAGAATCATGCCAAGAGTTGGAGATTACTGTGAGCAGTGACACCACTGCACTCTACCAGGAGCAACAAAGTGAAACTCTGTCCTCCCCAAAAACAAAGTTAAGCATGTCTTTTTAAAAGTGTGTTTCTGACCCTTTTATAATTTGTTGTTATTGTTGTTTGAGACAGAGTCTCACTCTGCCTTGAGTAGAGTACTATAGTGTCATAGCACACAGTAACATCAGACTCCTGGGCTCAAGTGATTCTCTTGCCTCAGCCTCCCAACTATCTGGGACTATAGGTGCCTCCTGCAGCACCAGGCTAGTTTTTCTGTTTTTTTTTTTGTTGTTGTTGTTTCTTTTGAGACAGAGTCTCAGTCTATCGCCGCCCTTGGTAGAGTGCCTTGCCTGCAGTTATAGCTCACAGCAACCTCCAACTCTTGGGCTTAAGTGATTCTCTTGCTTCAGCCTCCCAAGTAGCTGGGACTACAGGTACCCGCTGCAACGCTGGCTATTTTTTGTTGCATTTCCCACTGATGTTTTAGCTGGCTGGGGCCAGGTTCAAATCCACCACCCTTGATATATGGGGCTGGCGCCCTACCCACCGAGCCACAGGCAATGCCCTGGTTTTTCTGTTTTTAGTAGAGACTGGTGTCGAACCTCTGAGCTCAGCAATCCACTCGCCTTGGCCTCCCAGAGTGCTAGAATTAGAGGCGTGAGCCACGGTGCCCAGCCTACCCTTTTGTAGTTCTTGAGTGTGATACTAGTGTGTTTACACTCACATGTGGATGTGCCTCCCTCAAATCTTGTTAGGACATTGGCACAATACCCAGGGTTGTGAACAAAAAATCATCTCTTAATTCATTTTTTCTTTATTTTACAAAAGTATAAATTAGCTGAAGATTAGAATTTTTAAAAATAAATTTTTGAGGCCGGGCACAGTGGCTCACACCTGTAATCCTAGCGCTCTGGGAGGCTGAGACGGGTGGATTGCTTGAGTTCATAAGTTCGAGACCAGCCTGATGGCTTGGTGCCTGTGACTCAAGTGGCAAAGGTGCCAGCCACATACACGTAAGGTGGCAGGTTTGAATCCCAGCCCGGCCTGCCAAACAACAATGATGGCTACACCCCCCCCAAAAAAATAGCCAGTTGTTGTGGCAGGCGCCTGTGGTCCCAGCTACTTGGGAGGCGGAGGCAGGAGACTCGCTTGAGCCCAGGAGTTGGAGGTTGCTGTGAGCTGTAATGCCACGGCACTCTACCAAGGGGGACAGCTTGAGACTCTGTCTCAAAAAAAGAAAAAAAAGAGACCAGCCTGAGCAAAAGCAAAACCCTGTCTCTACTAAAGTAGAAAAAAAAACTGAAGCAAGAGGATCTCTTGAGTCCAAGAGTTAGAGATTGTTGTGAGCTATTATTCCACAGCACTCTACCCAGGGCAAGAGTTTAAGACCCTGTCTCAAAAAATAAATAAACAAAGGAACAAAAAATAAATCTTTGGTTGTCCTAAAGCATTAGACAAAATTCAGCCATTTGAGCACCAGCCTTTTCTCTTACTACACCAAGTAGCATTTCTTTTCTTTCTTTTTTTTTAGACAGAGATTCAAGCTGTCACACTGGGTAGAGTGCCATGGAGTCATAGCTCACAACAACCTTGCCTCAGCTTTTCTATTGTTAGTAGAGACCAGGTCTCGATTTTGCTCAGGCTGGTCTTGAACTCATAAGCTTAAGCAATCCACCCGACTCAGCCTCCCAGAGTGCTAGGATTACAGGCGTGAGCCACCACAGCCCAGCCTAGTAGCATTTCAATGTGACATGATTCATTTCCTCTGAGGAGATGTATATTCCACATCTATAATGAAGCAGGAAGGGGTACGTTGGACTTTAACCATATATTCATGCTTCATAGCACCATCTTTTATTTTACCCCAGCTAAAATCTACAGAAAAACTCTTCTTTGATTTTTCTTTTTCCCTCTTTAAACATACTCAACTGGACAAAGTTCTGTGCCTTCTGTCCCTGAAATGTAGTACCTCAGGCCTCCTTGCCCAGGCATCCACCATATTTCAGGTCTCCTCTGAGATTCGTATCTCCAGGTACGGCCATCACCTCATTGCTGTTAGAGCTTTCCAAATGAAGATGCCACTCAGCTGCCTAAAAGCTGTTTGCTTTATGTAACAAATTCCAAGCTGGGCGCAATGGCTCACACCTACAACCCCAGCACTCTGGGAGGCCGAGGCAGGAGGATCACTTGCACTCAGCAGTTCAAGACCAGCCTGAGGAAGAGCAAGACCCCATCTCTACTAAAAAATAGAAAGATTAGCTCAGTGTTGTGGCAGGCACCTATGAGGATCCCTTGACCAAGAGTTTGAGGTTACTGTATGCTAAGCTGAGGCTATAGCACTCTAGCCCGGGCAACAGAGACTCTGTCTCAAAAACAAACAAAATAATCCAAACTCTTTACTGACCTCCTAAAGTTTTTGTATCTGTGTCTGGTCTACCCTGTTGGCCTCAACTCCAGCCACATTCCTTAGTTCCTTACATCAGCTAAGCCCCAGTCACCCGGGTCCTTTCCTGGCACTCATCCGACACCAGGCACCCGGGGTCCTTTCCTGGCACTCATCCGACACCAGGCACCCGGGGTCCTTTCCTGGCACTCATCCGACACCCCATGAACACTTGTTTTTTGTGTTTTTTTGAGACAGAGCCTCAAGCTGTCCCCCTGGGTAGAGTCCTGTGACATCACAGCTCACAGCAACTTCCAACTCTTGGGCTCAAGCGAGCCTCCTGCCTCTGCCTCTCAAGTAGTTGGGACCACAGGTGCCCACCACAACGCCCAGCTGTTTTTTGGTTGCAGTCGTCATTGTTTGGTGGGCCCAGGCTGAATTCAAACCCACCACCTTGGGTGTATGTGGCTGGAGTCTTAGCCACTTGAGCCACAGGTGCCGAGCCCCCCCATGAACACGTGTTGTTTATAAACACAGGGACACTCCGTGCCCTGGTTCCCTCTGTCACCTGGCCCCTAGAAGGGCTCTTTCTTGGTGTCTTCCTGCACTGGCATTCCTTCAGAGCTCAGCTCAGGCCACTTTCTCTTTGTATTTTCTCTGCTATCTCTCTTCTTTTCCCAGACCTATTAATAATTACTTCCTTATCTACATCTCCCTCTCACTTTACATTGACATTTACATGCATATGTCTTACGTAGTTATGAGTTTACCTGTTTTGTTTCTGCTTTCCCTTTCAAAATCGAGATGCCTTGTTAATTTTAATTATTCCAGTAACTAGTATAGTGCCCCATCCAGAGAAGACCCTTAACTGTTTGTTACATCAATGTTATGAGTTGAGACACTTTCATTTATTCATTTATTTGTTCATTTCTTGGGAACCACATGTGCCAAGCTCTCAGGATCTGCTTGGTGGTGACTAAGACAGACAAGGTCACAGCCAGTATAGCGTTTACATTACAGTGTAGGACACAGAAAACAAACAAATGGATTGATAAAGAAAAACAAGCAAATAAACAAGCCAGATAATTCCACCTTCAGATCAGCACTAGGAGGTACCCACATGCTCTGCAGAGGTGAAGCTGCCTGAGGAGACCACACCAGAGCCAGGAGAGTCCCTTGCATAGGTGCCACGAGGGCTGGGACTTCAGAGATGAGAAGGGCACATGTAGGAAAAGAACTGGCTTGTCCAAAGGACAAACCACTGCCAGTATGGCTGGAGCAGGCTGAATGCTACAACTAAATTTGGAAAATGAGCCAACTTAATGTAGCACTAGGATCCAGTGGAGAAGCCCGTCAAGGCTTTAAGTAAGGACATGGCCTAGATCAGATGACAATTTTAGGAACTGTGCTTTTGTCCTTGTAAATAATGCACTAAAGAGGAGCAAGAAAGAGCAGGAAACAGATGAAGCCATTACTCAAGGAACCTTAGGTCAGAGGTGATTATTGGTTGAGGGTGAGAGGGCAAAGGTGGGGATGGAGAAGTAGATATATCAGAGATGCTGTCGAAGGTCAAGTTAAAACCCTCTGTGATGGATTGAATGTGTGTGGAACTAGGGCGAGCCCTGGGGAATATACCAAATAAAAAACAATCCTGATGTTCTGGCTTGAGCATCAGGTATTAGCCACACTCAGAGGCTCACATCCTCATATCTGGGAAGCCAAGGCAGATGAATCCCTTGAACTCACCAGTTCAAGTTCAAGACTAGCCTGAGCAAAAGTGAGAGCATGTCTCTACTAAAAATAGAAAAATTATCTCAGCATTGTAGCACGCACTGGGAGGATCCCTTGACCCCAGGAGTTTGAGGTCTGTGCACTATGACACCAGGGCACTCTACCCAGGGTGACAAAGTGAGACTCTCAAAAAAAAAGTAAAAGAAATGGCAGAACAATATTTTTGTTGTTTCAATGTCGTCATTGTTGTTCTTTTCCCAGCACAATTTTTTTTTTGAGACAGAGTCTCACTATGCCCCCCTCAGGAGAGGGCCTTGGCTTCACAGCTCACAGCAACTTCCAACTCTTGGGCAATTCTAACTCAGCCTTCAGAATAGCTGGGACTACAGGTGCCTGCCACAACACACGGCTATGTTTTTTGTTGTAGTTGTCATTGTTATTTAGCTGACACAGGCCAGGTTCAAACCCCCTAGCCTCAGTGTATGTGGCTGGTACCCTACCCACTGAGCCTCCCAGCACAATCTCAAAAGGAAGAATTAAAAGGGAAACAAAATAACTTCTGCCCAGGAATCAATTTATGTCTCCGCCATTTACCTTCATGTGACCTCAAACAGGTTTTCTCAAAGGTTTCAACTTCAGTTTCTGGTCCATAAAATATTTTATTTTATTTTTTGAGACAGAGTCTCACTTATGTCACCCTTGGTAGAGTGCCATGGTGTCACAGCTCACAGCAACCCCAACTCTTGGGCTTAAGCAATTCTCTTGCCTCAGCCTCCCAAGTAGCTGGGACTACAGGTGCCCGTCACAATGCCCAGCTATTTTTTTGTTGCAGTTCGGCCGGGGCTGAGTTTGAACCTGTCACCCTCGGTATATGGGGCAGCGCCCTACCCACTGAGCCACAGGCACTGCCCCACCTGGCTTTTTTTTGTTGTTGTTGCAGTTGTCATCATTGTTTAGAAGGCCCAGGCTGGGTTCGAACCCACCAGCCTCGGTGTAAGTGGCTGGCGCTATAACCACTGTGCTATGGGTGCTGAGTCATTTTAAAATACTTTAAAATAGGACATTTCTCCGAGGGTTATCGTGACGATTTACTAAAATAGTGTGTGTGGCAAGTAATTCTAATCTCAGCTTCTGTGAGGTATAGGTACTCCAGCAACAGTGAACTACTTTCAGCTGTCCAAAGAAGTTAACCATTCTCTCCGTGGGGCACTTCCCAGTTATACTTATAATGCCATATGTAGATCCTTAAAGATCACTGTCCTGTGTAAAACTGTGCTATAAAACCACAAGGCTGGGGCTGGTCACAGTGGCTCATGGCATAATCCTAGCACTCTGGGAGGCTGAGGCAGGTGGATTGCCTGAGCTCAGGAATTCAAGACCAGCCTGAGCAAGAGCAAGACCTGTTCCTAAAAATAGCTGGGTGTTGTGGCAGGCACCTGTAGTCCGAGCTACTCAGGAGGCTGAGGTAAAAGCATTGCTTGAGCCCCATAGTTTGAGGTGGCTGTGAGCTGTGACACCACAGCACTCTACCAAGGGTGACAAAGAAAGACTATGTCTCAAAAAAAAAAAATCAGAATTAAAAATATTTGTGTTTCAAATGACAATATGAAGAGAATGAAAAAACCACAAAAGTTGAGAAATTATTTACAAATCATATACTCTATGTGGTAA